CATTCAACTTAATATCCAGTACATATATGATCAGACGCAGCTTTAAAGGGTAGCGTTGCGAGCATTTCAATCTTTTCAGGGAGGCTCGATTAAAATTACACTTACACTAGATCACGTTAAAGGGAAAATATAGAAAATAAAGGAAAAAAGGAAATTGAAATCGAACCAATAAAAGAACTAAGAACCGCAGCAACAAAGCTGAAATATATATTGCTTAGCATTAAAAAGTTTGTTTTCAGCAATTCGATTTTGTCCTGAAGCATGTTTGTTTATAATGAAACTTGAACACCCTAATACAAATTTTGCTGAGTACCAAAACATACAGAAATTTTATCCTGCATTGATGTTAAAAGTTCCAGTTTTAAAAAGGAATATGCAATAGTAAAGAAACAATTAAAATGTTAGAAAACTCAAAAAGGAATTGAGTTTTTGCCGCAAGCACAAATTGTTTAATCACTGTATCTTTGCAACCTGATGGTGTAAACCTTTGACATTTCAAGACATTTTGACATTTCATAGTTTGAAATAAATAAGTCTTACAAGATCGGGTTGCACAACATAGAAATTAGAAAATCAGAGTTTATCACCAAAACTCAATTTCTTTGTTTATTAAATTTGTAAATTGTTTCCCAAACACATAATTATTATTAGTTAATAGTTTTGAGGCTCATCGATCACTTCTTTAAACAAGCCCAGAGCTCACTAATAATAGATAGGAACATGAGTCTTTGAGTTTATGAAAAAGGCTCAATTCCTTTCTTACAAGCTCAGGAGTCAGTAGAAATGTTAAAAGGATTCTTTTTCAAAGATAAAATACTCCTATTTTCATGAGAGAAAAATAAATCTAACAGATCTGGGTTGCAGAAAAAGTTTGAACGAACTGCTAGACAAATTTATAAATATATATGTTTATATAAATCTGTCCAAAAGTTTATATTTATTACGCCTCCAGGCTGTCAATAACTGAAGAAGGGGGAGAAACTTTCTAGGATTTTATGAATTTTAAATATGTAAACACTCTGAAATCCTAAGGATAGGATTATCAGCTACTATATTTTCAAATTCTGATGGGACATGATAAAGGAATTAGGTCTTTGCCACAAACTCTGACTTTCTAATCCCTTGATCTTTGCAACCCAATGTAGTATGCCTTTTAAAAACTATGAATTTTTATATCAAATTCTGTAAGCTTGAAATATCAAAGGTTTACACCATCCAGTTGCAAAGATATTTTAGTTTTTTGCAAAGACTACATTACTTGAAATATTTTAGTGCGCTTTCTTGCTAGATCTCGCATTAAACCAAATCTAAAAACAGCGTTTAAGATGTTCAGCCTACTAAACATTGTTGTACTATGTTAAATAGTGCTTCTTGTAGGTACAATCCCCAAAATTGGGAAGGTCTTTTAAAAAAACATTTTTATTTAAAATGCCGTATTAACCTATAAAAGTAGGCCTTATATCTTGAAAATGTGCTCGGTTTCTTTTCCTAAGATAAAAAAAATTAAATTTAAATTTTATTGTGAGTTTTGTTTTACAACAGAATAGAATAAATTGTGGATTCTCAATGAGAGAACTGAGGATTGTTTCAAATAAAATGACCAAAGAGAAAGTTAGAATTTTTTTTGAAAATCTTAGGAAAAGGGATTGAGAACATTTTGAAGGATAAAACGGCATTTTAGAGCAAAATCTTTTAAAGGGCAAGCCCCAATTTATGAACATTGTACCGAATTGTAACTCGTTTTATTGCAATAAACGATGTTTAGCAGGTCAAAAAAATAAATCTTCGGAAAAAACCAGAGCACATTTTCGAATATAGGTTCTAATTTTGCAGGTTTAAATGGCATTTTAGAGAAAAATGTTTCTTCGACGATCTCCACCCCCCCCCCTCATTGAGTGAAGAAATCAACAAAGTTTAAAGAAGAAAAGTTAGTGGAGGAATGGGAAAGGGGAGAAAAATTGAGAAAAATCCCTCCATTTACTTTTTCCCTCTCCTGAATGTATAGTGAAGCCGTGTGAATATTAGATTAAGAGCAAGGTGGAAACGAATTTTTTTTTAACATAAAGAGAATACATAACTTAGTTCAGGACAACACTTGGTTGAAGAAATTCTTAATTTAATTAATATTTGAAATGTTCTTTCAGCAAGTGACAATTCAACCCTATTCCATATAAACTGACATAAAAGAACCTTAACTTATTAAACTTTTCTTACAAAAATTTAATATAATTGTATTTTACTGGGCTTTAAGCATCTTCTATTTCAATTGTGAACAATCTCTTTTTGTGTATCTTCATTGTAAAACATAAACAAACAAACAAAAAGTTTGCGGATTTTATCCAAAAATTTCGAGGGTTTTTAAAATTTATTGAAAATCAAATTTAGTTCGAGGCAAATTTTTTTAATTTTAATCGATCATAAACCTTAACTGGGTTCATGTGAGGTCAAGGATTTTCAAGAATTTAATTTTTTTTTTACAAAACTAAAAACCTTTAAAACCTTTTTTATTTTATTTTTATCATTCATAAACCTTCCCTATGGTCACGTGATGTCCCACAAAAAATTTGGACCCGATCGGTTCAGCCGTTTTGACGTTTATTGGATACAAACAAACAGACAGACAAGCCAAATTTATATATAGATTTTAAGGTCTGCATTTGCATAACCTTATCAAACATTTATCTAAGAAAATTCTCAATTGCAAAATTGAGAAAACCAACTCACAATAAGAAATCCTTCATTCAAATTTTAAAATTCTTAGTTATTAGACAGTTTTAAAGACAATTGACCAAGTTCATTACCCTATTATTTTGCAAGGAAAAAGACCTTTTTTCAGACAGTCAGGTTTAAACTTTTACAAGTTTGAATTGACTTGTGCAAATATCTAGTTAAGGAAAAACATTTCCAACTGATTCAGGGAAAAATAAATAAATAATCTGTTCACTATATCTTGCATTCTTGTTTGTTTAGGTCAGACACTTCAAGTCCAGCCCAGGTCACTTCAATATGAGTGGTCGGTGGTCAAATCAAATAAGGGGAACGAGATTTTTTACTACAGTGATAACTGGAAAACAATGAAATAGGAAGACGACATTATTCCAATACTTGAAAATATTTGATATTATTACAATTTTTTATACAAACTTATTAAAAAACTAGTTTAGTGAAATGGGACTGCACAATTGAGGCATCTCATACTCCGCTTTTTAAAGTTATAACTTGACTCAAAATTGTGGTTATCTCTGTAAGAAAAGGGGAAGGGAGACATTGGTTTTAGATCAGGGAGGGATAAAGTTTAGTTTGGTATAGGTACAGGTAAAGAATTTAACCTAGAGGGGGTATCATATTAAAGATTTTTGAATCATATCCGGTCTACTATATGAAGACTAGTTTTAATGGGAATTGATACTAATTTAATGGTAGCTATGTGCATAAGGAATCAATGTTCTTAAAGGAACTATGTTCTTAAGTAAACTATGTTCTTAAGTTAACTATGTTCTTAAGGAACTATGTTCTTAAGGAAACTATGTTCTTAAGTAAACTATGTTCTTAAGGAAACTATGTTCTTAAGGAAACTATGTTCTTTTCTTAAGGAAACTATGTTCTTAAGGAAACTATGTTCTTAAGTAAACTATGTTCTTAAGGAAACTATGTTATTAAGGAAACTATGTTCTTACGGAAACAAAGTCTCAAGGAAACGATACTTTAAGAAAACGATATCTTAAGGAAACTGTAATGTGCTTTTTAAGGACTATGTTCTTAAGGAAACTAAGTCTCAACGAAACGATATCTTAAGGAAACAATATCTTAAGGAAACGATATATTAAAGAAACTATGTGATTAAGGATACTATAAACTTGAGGACACTATGTGCTTGAGGGAACTATGTGTTTGTGGAAACTATATGCTATAAGACACTATGTTTTTAAGGAAATTATGTGCTTAAGGGAATTTTCTGCTTTGAGGAAACTATGAGCTTAAGAAATCTATATTTTTCAGGACACTTTGTGCTTAAGGGCAACTATGTTCTTAAGGCAACTATGTCTTAAGAAAACTTGGTGCTTAAAGAAACTCTGTTCTCAAGGAAACTGTGTGCTTGTGGAAACTATGTGCTATAAGAAACTATGTTCTTAAAGAAAATATGTGCTTTAAGAAACTATGTTCTTAAAGAAACTATGTGGCTAAGAAAACTTTGACGGAAGAAAACTAGGTGATTTTAGAAACAATAGTGCTTAGAAAACTATGTGGTAAAGGAAACTATGTTCTTAAAGTAACTAAAATATGCACTGATGACTAGTTTTATGAAAATTTATTCAACTTCCTAAAAGTGAGAAAGGTTTATCGTCCCCTGGATAGTAGTGCAGGATATAGATCATACTTTTACTCAGTCCTGGAAAATATATGCAGCTAGTGTTTACTTAACAATACTGTTTTCTTATTTTAACTAAACATTAATTTCACTAAACAAACCAACAATAACTTTAAACTTTGAAAGAAAAAAGGTTTCGGGAGTATTTACTTTTACTAAAAGCACATACAAAGAAATACTTTGTTGTTCTTGTATTTTGCATATTTTGTGAAAACGCAGATTTACTAAAATTTCAGTTATTTAAAACTATTTTCCAGTATACTGGGTGACATGTCATATAACAAAATTATATAACAAAAATCCCTGACTTCTGTTTTTAAATAGAATTCAATTCTGACAAATATTACTGAAATAAAAAAGGTTATTAAACTATACGTAGCTTTTCCTAAATTATTTTAGAGTGAAATAAAATTCATGTTTGGAGTTAGTCTAGGTAATCTAAAAATTAGCTGATTTTTGAATAATCTATTAACGTTTTGTTTTGGGTGTCCGTAATGATTCTTTTCATTCTAAACCAATTAACTTCTGGTAATTGGTTTCATTTGAAATTTTTTTTGATCAGACTTAATTTCTACACATAAATGGAGTTCAGTTTAATAAATAATGTTTTACATGATCCTACATAGTATACCTGAGAATAAACTGAAGAACTGCCTCAAATCCAGGTCTACTTTCCTTCAGCAGAGATACCATGTGTTTGTTCACCTTAGTCAAGTCTTTCATCAGTAAACTAAAAAAAACATATTTAAGAATGATAATAAATTTTAACTTTAAGCTGTAGCTTTTCAAGTCCCTATTTTTTCCGTTCTCCTAAAACAAAATTTTGCGGATTTTTCTGTTTTCATTTGTGCATTATTAAAAATAATAACTGTCAACATATTTTGCTAGATTTTTCAAATGTCTATAAAATTTTTCTGGGGTCATGTGAGCTTTGCCCCCCAAAAAAATCTGGATCAGTTCAACCGTTTTGACGTTTATTGGGTACAAACAAACAAAGATACAAAGTATTTATTAATAATAAAAAAAATACAATATCTTTTTTTATTATACAAGTAATAAACTAGAAAATTGTATGTTTGTAAGAAAAGATATTTAAAAAGCAAATTTGTGAAAGCCATACAGGCCAAATAATTTTTTTTACATATTTCACATACTAGGCTTGTAAGGCGCCTTATGCCCCTTACCTTTTGACAATTTTAGCTTTTAACTGTTGCTCTGAAAGGGGCCTCAAAAAAGGCCACTTTCATTCTCAAATTTATGCGAATTTTTTAATTTAAATTTAAATGAGCTCATTCAAAAAAATTTTTTTTCAGGCAAAATTATTCAACTTTCTGGGGTCATTTGATCTTTTATAAAAAAAATCTAATTTTTTCCTCACTTCTTTTCTTCAACATTTGTTAAGACATATTCCAAGGTATTTACTTAATTACTTCAATTAACCCAAGTCTGCACACTAATTGTGTAATGTTACACAGAACTTAATAAAGCTCTTAATATTTATTTTAATAGGTAGGGGTATAGGATGATCCATACATAATGAATCATACTTTATTTAGGAATCCATCTTTAGTATTTTTTATTTGTATCTTAAAGGGACAGTAAAGGAAAACTGAAAGGGGGTATAGGCTGAAAGCTAATCACTTTATCTTTTGATCGCGACCCATGAAAGTTTTATCTGATGTTCCTGTCTCGAGAAATTGATATAAAACTGTGTTAAAATTATTCGAAAATTCATATATGTAAAATTTTGAAAATCTGAAACTTAAATCACATGACCAGAACTATCAACAATGGCAGAGCAGTATACTGGTCACGTGTCTCCGCCTGTATCACGTGAGCACTTTACTCCACTGCCATTGGTGGAATTTCTGGTTAAGCAATACGGACGTAAAAATAATATTATGAATGAAATCTATTGAAAATAGAAACAACAAATATAAAAGTAAACCTAAATTTCAATTAGCTTTCTCTGGGATATCATCGTTTTCAGATTGGTTACTTATTTTCTGAATATGATCTGTTTAAACCTACTACTTTTATACAAAATTGTATATATATTAATTTTCGTATAGATTTGACACAGTTTTATATCAATTTCTCGAGACAGGAACCTCAGATATGACTTTCATGGGTCGAGATCAAGATCTAAAGTGATAAGCTTTCAGCCTATACCCCCTTTCATTTTTCCTTTACTGTTCCTTTAACTGAAAGACAATATTCCAACACAAAAGCTAAAATGTCCAGCCTTTGCTGCCAGGAAAGGATTGACTGTGAAGACCGGAAAAGTAAAACCAAGTTTTCAAATTTAAAAAAATCTAGATTACTTTGGAGTGACCTCTTTAATTACTGACCAACCATAAACCTTCCCCTGTCCTACAAAAAATTGCTCAATCAATTTAGCCATTTGTTTGTTGGATACAAGGAACAAACAAATAGACAAAGTAAATGTATATTAAGAGAGCAGAACAATTAATATCAACCAATGTATGTATGATATGTAGTACACTATAAGATGTTGTGACACAGTATATTAATGACAAAGTTGAAAGCAGGAATGGATAAAGTTGCACAAAAACTAGTCATAGCTTTAAAGCTTGCAATAGGTTTGCTCTGATGAGAATGAAGAATTGTTTTTGTATGAAAGAGAAATGCATTGGAGTATCTTGATAAAGAAAATTAGACCTCAAGAGCAATGCAATATCCAGGCCAAAATTTTTCAAACTTTGATACCCATTGCACCTTTTCATACCTAGAACTCAAATTTATATTTTAAAAAGTGTATGTTTTTCCAGTCTGTCTATTTTAGAACAGTTACATCAATCATCAAAATAAAATTAAACATTTGTAAAAGTAAAATCCAATATGACATTAAAAAATAAATTAAAAATTAAATGGATAAAAGTTAAAAATTAAAGATGCTTCACATGTTTCATTTTTTTCAAATTTCCCAGGGGAAGAGTATAATCCATTCAAATTTATGAACACTGGAACCTAATTCAGAAGAAGAAAAATATAAAATCTGATGTTTATAGCCACAGTTTGACATCTCATATGGTCAATAAAGCAGGGAAATATATATTGTGAAGAATAATCTCCCTCGAATGAGGGAGGTTAAAATCTAATATTTGCTTCAGGGTAACAAAATGTGACTTAAAACTTTGAGCTAATACCCCGGTTTATTACTTTTTTAAAAATAAAAACTCGTTACTTTTAAATACAAAAATAATTTCTAAACATTATGGCAAAAATATTTTAAAAGAAAAAATAAATACCCCTGTTGACCAGTGACCAGGTTTGCTCCTCAATTTCATAATATATTATAAATTAAAATTTAAACCAGCAGTAAAGATAATTTTATTTCCTTCAATAAAACATTGACGGTTATTATAAAATCAATTTTAGATAAGTTTGACTTCATTCAACAATATTTTATTCAAGGTTGTAGAAAACATATATATAATGTAATAACTTGTGATATAAGTATATTACAAAGAAAAGAGGAGAAGAGTAAAAACATTGTATGTTATTTGAATAACTCTTGTTTTACTGTGCAATGTTAGAAAAGGATTAACCTATTAACCTATCTATGTTACCATGAGGACCAAATGTAATATTTTTTAACTGTGGTAATACTCTCTAAGTGTTACAGTAATAGGTAACAAACATACATATTGCATACACAGATACATCACACATACATAGTTATGTCTTAAACCACCTATTTTAAAAACTTAAAATGCAAAAAAATGTATAAAATATCTCTTGTGTCAGATTCTTGTCTGAAATAATAGAGAAAACCATCTGGTAAATCTGGTAAATCTCATTTTTATTCCAGAAATAATTATTCGATGGAATCCTTTGGGAAAACCTACCATGGGTTATATGCTGCATATTATCATTAAACTTTATTTTGTCCAGTCCTTTAAAAATTGTCCTTCCACCCCTCAAGGAAATAAAAACAAATAAAGTCCAACATGATTTATAAAAAGTTATTCTCACATATTAAACTTTTAATAATTGGATGGAATGCTTAATCATTCTTAAGGGATCAAAACAAAATCTTAAAACCAACTTAACTTAGAAATTCCAAATTTATTAGAATACCAAATAGTTGAAAGTTAAAGCAATGTTCTAACTTTGTTGTGAATAGTTGTCTAGTACTGGAAGCAGTAAGTTTAGAGATTACTGAATTAATCTGGATAATCTTGATTTAAGATAATTAAGAATTAATTTGAATTACTCAAGCGTTACTATTTTTAAGACTATTTATGCATTATTATGCATTACAGCTAGGGAATATATACCTAATGGGGTTAAGGGGCGGGGGGGTTTTAGTGGAAAATAAGGAGTCGATAGGAAAAAACCTTGCAAATTAAAACGCAGTAATAAGATTAAATTTAATATTTTTGAGGAGTAAAGGGTAATTACTGAAATTTTGTGAACATTTAACTTTTCTTAGATTAAAATAACCATCTAAGTTACGCTAAGAAAATTAAATGAAAAAGATGTATTGAAATACATTTGTTAAATTGAATAAGAAAATATAATGAAGAGGCAGGAAACTGCATTGCATAAAGAATGCACCCTGAATTTAAAATACTGGCTAGAACTAGAAAAGGACTTTCAGAATATCTGATTATAGAATTTGATACTTACTTTGATTCATACTTTGGTCCCCAATTAAAATAATTTGGGAAAATAAGGGAGCCATCTTCTGGTTGTTATGATTTAAACATTTGTGTGCCCTTACATCAGATAATGTGTTTAACAGTATTAATTCAATTGTAATTACAAAAGACAAATTTTTTCATCCCCAAATATGTCATATGTATTGAATCAGGACAGGACGTTCTAAATAAAAATAAATTGTACCGTTTACATCGTAAAAACCAGGTGTGTAAGAACTTGAGGGGGGAAGGAAGGTCATTACTTGGATGTTAGGTAGGTAGGTTGGTTAGTTAATAGTTCCTTAGTTAATACGTTCGTTGGTTAGGTTGGTTCATTGGTTAGGCTCTTCAACTCGGACGCAATAGTCTCCAATAATCAGTCAATAGATACAGTTCAGACCTGTAATAAAATACAGGTGTAGTAAAAAATAAAATGACAATGTATTTATGTAATTAATGGATTTGTTGCTGCTACTGTTCCTAGCTTTTGTTTGTATGCATAAAGCCATAATTGAAATATTTTCTATTTGTGGAGGTCATTAGAGGTTATTAAAATTCAATTTGATTAAATTTAGGAATTTCGATCCCAAAAAATTGGAAGATTTCAACCAAAAATGAAGGCAGGCACCCCCCCCCCCCCCCCCNNNACTGGGGGGGGGGGGGGGGTAAAAGTTGTATTTATGGTCAACAAGGTGACATTTCAGAGCTATAAACTTTAATGTCAGATTATCTTTATCCTTATCCCTTGATCTAATATATCCACTGCGGGCCCTTTTAATTTGATGATCAATGATTTTAGTTAGTCCTACACTGTTCAAATTTCTCTTCAACTCCTAACTAGGTACAATCACCATTCACCATGCAGAATGTCAAATAAAGATTAAATTAATATGCATGCAGATTTACAAAAGGTTGGGATCCAGTATTTATCTCAATATCCACAATACAAGAGTTCCCAAATAAAGTTGTTTAACAAGATGAGTTGTGGTATAGTGAGCCTAGAAATAGAATTCTAGAAAACCTTGGTTTATAAATCTAACAAAATAGGAAGAGCAAATCTTTC